ACATATAAAAGGAGAATAAGAAAGTCACCTTCGGAGTAATTCTTCACAAACACACAATGATCAGCGTGTGTTTTGTGGAAGCCATGATCAACCATAAAAGACTCAAACTTCTTATACCACTGCCGAGGTGCTTGCTTCAGACCATACAAACTTTTCTTCAAACGGCAAACTAAGTTCTCCTTTCCCTTAACCTGGAAGCCTTCAGGTTGCTCCATGTAGATTTCCTTATCAAGATCACCATGAAGAAATGTTGTCTTCACATCAAGTTGCTCAATCTCCAAATCCATGCTCGCAGCTAAGCCAAGTATAACTCGAATAGACGTCATCTTCACAACTGGAGAAAATATCTCATCAAAATCTATGCCCTTCTTCTGACTGAAACCCTTCACAACTAATCTTGCCTTGTACCTTGGTTGTGAGCTACTCTCATCACACTTCAATCTGTATACCCACTTGTTCTTTAGTGCTCTCTGGCCTTTAGGCAACTCTACAAGCTCATATGTGTGGTTCTCATGCAAGGACGTCATCTCATCTTGCATGGCATCGTACCACTTCTCGCGGTGCACATGTGACATAGCCTCATCATATGTCTCTGGCTCTCCTCCATCTGTGACCAACACAAAATCATCCTCCGAAAGTCTCGTGGAAGGTTTTCTGACTCTGGTGGATCTTCTCAACTGAGGTGGTGGTGACTCTGAATGTGGTAGTGACTCTGGAATAGCATCACCACCATCACCATGATTATCGTCATCATGATGGTCATCTGTAGGAGACTCAACTGTATGATCATGCATATCTCCCCCATAATCTTGAGGGACTACAACAGGAGGAAGAGATGGAACTGGATCAAGTGTGATGCATGGAGAAGGATTTGCCTGCTTCATCTCACAATCTTCAATAGTCTGATCTTCAAAGAAAACCACATCTCTGCTTCTGATCACTTTCCTATCACGTGGATCCCATAGTCTGTACCCAAACTCATCCTCTGAATACCCCAAAAATATGCACTCTTTGGTCTTCTTATCAAGCTTGGATCTCTCATCTCTAGGAATATGAACAAATGCTCTGCAACCAAAGACTCTCAAATGCTTATAGGAGACATCTTTCCCTGACCAAACTCTTTGAGGAACATCACCTTCAAGAGGAACTGAAGGGGAAAGGTTAATCAGGTACACGGCAGTGAACATTGCCTCCGCCCAAAAGGACTTTGGCAGCTTAGCATGAGATAGCATACACCTGATTCTTTCCTCAATGGTTCTGTTCATCCTTTCTGCAACTCCATTAAGCTGAGGTGTCTTCGGAACTGTCTTCTCAAGCTTGATGCCCTGACTTTTGCAATAGTTCTCAAATGGACCTCTGTACTCACCACCATTGTCTGATCTGACACACTTGAGCTTTCTACCACTTTCTCTTTCAACTCTGACATGAAACTCCTTAAAAACTTCAAGTACCTGATCTTTATTTTTCAAAACAAAAGCCCACACTTTTCTAGAAAAATCATCAATAAAAGTCACAAAATATTGTGCACCACGGTGTGATCTAGCATCCATAGAGCAAACATCAGTATGAACAAGATCTAAGGCATGCTTTCTTCTATGTGGGGGACGAGTATGAAATGCAACTCTATGTTGTTTTCCAGCCAAACAATCAACAC